ATCCTCTCACAACATCACTGCCAGACCTTCCTCCTTCCCCTGAGAAATACACCAAGATATTATCATATATCTCATACTTATAGCATATTTTACATCTCCACCAAGATATTGTTAGAGACCCCAAAATTTCAGATCTATTTTCTTGGCTAATGCCATAAAATAGAAACCCATAACTTCTAGCCTGTAAGAAGTCCTTTTACTTTCACTTATGGTCCTTCTTTTTCTTCTCTCAGAATAAATATTTTCTATGCTGGTTAGGGCAACTATACCCTACTCTCTAAAAGTCACCACTATTATCACCTCAAAGTCTTATTAAAATAATGCCAAATAGTCACAAGGCCACTTGTTCTAACTGTGTTTTCTTAGATTCTGCATTTGTCAAGTTGGCAGCCACTAATCACAGAGCCAAAGCAAGAGTTAATTAACGTCATTGACCTCTCTCCCTCAGGTCAGCTTGCCTGGCGCAAACCGTTCAAGTGCAGCCCAGCCGACCCACGGCTGTGCCCCACTGCCTCCTTTATCTAACTCTCCCATGCCAAGTGAATGTTTCCTCTGCCTTAAATCATCCCAGGACCAGACAACTAGGGACAGCCCATATGCCCCAAAGCCTGTGGAAATTATTCAAACTAGCCAAACCTAAGCTGTGTATCCTGCCTTGCCTTCCCCACAGAAACCCTGATAGAGGCTGTGTCCTAGGCTTGCCCCTTCCTTCTACTTCTCCTCCTGCCCACCCCAGTCATCAGATACAGAGATATGTTCAAGGTATGTTATTTCAGGGGCTAAAGTGATAGTTTAACCTTCGGTCTGTAACGTGCCAATAAAATATTACAGGATGGAAAGGACCAAATGAGCAGAAACGAAGAGGGATATTTAAATCACTGTGGGGCACAATATTAGTAATTACATGAGTGTCAAGGCTGTTATGAATGCTTCAAATTTTCTGTTAACTGCATAATCTGGTGCAAAGGAGGATACAGTAGGTAGGTGGTGTGGGATTTGTGAGGTAACTTTTTTTTTCTAGTGAGGAGACTGGCCCTGAGCTAACATCTGTTGCCAATCTTCCTTTTTTTAATATGTGGGACACCACCACAGCATGGCTTGATGAGCAGAGTGTAGGTCCGTACCTGGGATCCAAACCTGTGAACCCCGGGCCACCAAAGGGGAGCATGTGAATTTAACCAGTACACCACTGGGTTGGCCCCCATGAGGTAGCTTTTAAATATTTTTGAAAAGGTATACTCTTAGGGGCTGGCCCTGTGGCCTACTGGTTCAGCATACTCTGGTTCAGCAGCCTAGGTTCATGCGCTTGGATCCCAGGTGCAGACCTATACCATTCATTAACCATGCTGTGGCAGTGACCCACATACAAAATAGAGGAGGATGGTGCATATGTTAGCTCAGGGATAATCTTCCTCAGGAAAAAGAAAAGTATTTTTTAAGGTGGTAAAGATTTCTGTTGCAAGCTAATTGACCACAAGAGGTAGAATCTCTTCTGAGTTATCAATACAAGCTTAAAGGAAGTTGCATTAAAAATAAAAGAATGGTCAAGTCAGTAACAATTTTTTACCAGATTAATATTTAATGGAGATCATTGTTTATACTTTGGACCTGTGATGTACAAATTAATAATCCTTATACTGATTTTAAATCTGTTGAAAATTAAGATAATTTTCTGATAAATGATGGACTGGTTCTTTAAAGTAAGCAAAAAATATTCATAAAATATGATATAGATACTTAAACAACAAAGGAGGTAGATAAAAATAGATTTGATAATTTTGGAATTAAGATAAAGATATAATTTTGTTATTAAGTAAACTCTATTGGCATTTCAATACACACAATTACAGTTGTTTGTACATAATGTCTAGACTTGACTAAAGTTGCTGGAATTTCAGATTATAAAAAATTGAGTAAGACTTTTTTAAAGCATAGAAGAACAACACTCTGTTTTCTAGAGAGAAACAGTTAGAACTTTAAAAAAATCAGCTATTGGTGTCTGGAATTCCAGTCTTGAAATTTTCAATTTAGGTGAAAATAGCTGAGAAAAACAATTTGTAAATTATTTAGATACTTAATTTAGGTCATTAGAAACTGATAATGTGTTTTCTTTGAGGGTCAATTAATATCCAACGCCTTTATTTTAATGATTCTGACCCATAGACTGCATCTGCATAGGAAAATTGAAGCATAAAACAGAGCAACCACCCAAACTTCAGAAGGTCATTGATGTTTTCAACGAATTTATCACACCCCTATATTACTCAGATGTTCTGATTTTTATTGTTCTGTTTCACATGATTTTTTTTTTAGACTGAGTATTCAGTCATCCTTTCTCTTTTTGAAAATTTAAATAACAACAAAGTGTTACAGTATTATTAGCAAACCAAATAAAACTACTTTAATTAAATATTTTATAAAAAAATTTGTAATAAGGAATTCTGCTATTTTCACCCACCTGATTGAATCCTTTCACTGTCCTGTCATTTTTCTTAAACAAAAGTTCATATTTCTTGGAAAACTATTAGAAATAATTAACAACTACAGCAAAGTTGCAGGGTATAAAATCAACTTACATAAATCAGTAGCATTTCTATACTCTAATAACGAACTAACAGAAAAAGAACTCAAGAAGACAATATCATTCATGATTGCAACAAAATGAATAAAATACCTTGGGGTGAATTTAACTAAGGAAGTGAAAGACCTATACAACGAAAACTACAAGACTTTCCTGAAAGAAATTGATGACGACATAAAGACATGGAAAGACATTCCATGTACATGGATTGGAAGAATAAACATAGCTAAAATATCTATACTACCTAAAGCAATCTACAGATTCAACACAATCCCAATTAGAATCCCAATGACATTCTTTACAGAAATGGAACAAAAGTCCTAAAATTCGTATGGGGCAACAAAAGACCGCGAATTGCTAAAGCAATCCTGAGAAAAAAGAACAAAGCTGGAGGCATCACAATCCCTGACTTCAAAGCATACTACAAAGCTACAGTAATCAAAACAGCATGGTACTGGTACAAAAACAGGTGCACAGATCAGTGGAACAGAATTGAAAGCCCAGAAATAGAACCACACATCTATGGACAGCTAATCTTCGACAAAGGAGCTGAGGGCATACAATGGAGAAAAGAAAGTCTCTTCAACAAATGGTGCTGGACAAACTGGACACCCACATGTGAAAGAATGAAAATTGACCATTCTTTTTCACCATTCACAAAAATAAACTCAAAATGGATCAAAGACCTAAAGGTAAGAGCTGAAACCATAAGGCTTCTAGAAGACAATATAGGCAGTACACTCTTAGACATCAGTATTAAAAGGATCTTTTCGGACACCATGTCTTCTCAGATGAGGGAAACAATAGAAAGAATAAACAAATGGGACTTCATCAGACTAAAGAGCTTCTTCAAGGCAAGGGAAAACAGGATTGAAACAAAAAAACAACCCACTAATTGGGAAAAAATATTTACAAGTTATTCATCCGACAAAGGGTTAATCTCCATAATTTATAAAGAACTCACACAGCTCAACAACAAAAAATCAAACAACCCGATCAAAAAACGGGCAGGGGACATAAACAGACATTTCTCCAAAGAAGATATACGGATGGCCAATAGACACATGAGAAGATGCTCACCATCACTAATCATCAGGGAAATGCAAATCAAAGCTACACTAAGATATCACCTTACACCTGATAGAATGGCAAAAATATCCAAAACAAAAAGTGACAAATGTTGGAGAGGTTGTGGAGAAAAAGGACCCCTCATACACTGCTGGTGCAGCCACTATGGAAAACAGTATGGAGATTTCTCAAAAACTTAAAAATAGAAATACCTTATGACCCAGCCATCCCACTACTGGGTATCTATCCAAAGAACTTGAAATCAGCAATTCCAAAAGTCCCATGCACCCCTATGTTCATTGCAGCATTATTTACAATAGCTAAGATGTGGAAGCAACCTAAGTGCCCATCAACTGATGATTGGATAAAGAAAATATGGCATATGGGGCTGGCCCCATGGCCGAGTGGTTAAGTTGCGCGCTCTGCTGCAGGCTGCCCAGTGTTTCGTTGGTTCGAATCCTGGGCGCGGACATGGCACTGCTCATCAAACCACACTGAGGCAGCGTCCCACATGCCACAACTAGAAGGACCCACAACGAAGAATATACAACTATGTACCGGGGGGCTTTGGGGAGAAAAAGGAAAAAATAAAATCGTTAAAAAAAAAAAGAAAATATGGTATATATATACAATGGAATACTACTCAGCCATAAAATAGAATATAATCGTCCCATTCACAGCAACATGGATGAACCTTGAGGGTATTATGTTAAGTGAAATAAGCCAGATAGAGAAAGACGAACTCTGTATGACTCCACTCATAGGTGGAAGTCAAACATAGAGACAAAGAGAACTGATTGGTGGTTACCAGGGGAGAGGGGGGCTGGGAGGAGGGCACAAAGGGTGAAGTGGTGCACCCACAACAGGACTAACAATAATGTACAACTGAAATTTCACAAGGTTGTAAGCTATCATAATCTTAATAAAAAGTTAAAAAAACACTACATTAAGATATCATCTTACACCCATTAGAATGGCAAAAATAACTAAAACAAAAAGTAACAAATGTTGGAGAGGTTGTGGAGAAAAAGGAACCCTCATACACTGCTGGTGGGAATGCAAACTGGTGCAGCCACTATGGAAAACAGTATGGAGAGTCCTCAAAAAATTAAAAATAGAAATACCATATGACCCAGCCATCCCACTACTGGGTATCTACCCAAAGAACTTGAAATCAGCAATTCCAAAAGTCCCATGCACCCCTATGTTCATTGCAGCATTATTTACAATAGCTAAGATGTGGAAGCAACCTAAGTGCCCATCAACTGATGACTGGATAAAGAAGATATGGTATAGATATATACAATGGAATACTACTCAGCCATAAAAAGGATAAAATCGTGGAGCGCCGCGCCCGGCGCCTCGTCTCCCGCCGCTCCCGGCCCCGCGCCGCCCCCGAGGCCGATGGCGGCGGCCGCGCGGAGGGAGCCGGCTCAGGTGAGCGCTCGGCTCCGGCCCGCCCCGCCCGCAGCGCAGCCCGAGCTTCAGCCCTCGGGCGGGCGCTGCTCCCGGGCCTGCAGCCCAGGCCCCGGGGCCGGGCCGGGGAGGCGCTCGTGGGGCCTGTGGCTGCGGGCGGGGGCCGGGCTGCGGGCGAGGGTCCCAGGCAGACGGGCCCCGGGTCCGCGTTGTGTTCGCAGGGAACAGTGTAAGGAGGGGTCCCCCCTGGACCGGCAGGGGAGGGGCTGCTCCTTCAATCGGAGGGGCCTGGAGCCGGGAGGGCTGTGAACAGAGAGGGACGCGGTGCGTTTTCGGGTTTAAAAAGTTCTCCAGGAGCTGCTCGGAGAGAACGGACGGGAAGGGGTGAGGAGGCCGGGGAGGCGCAGGGAGCGGAGTCCTGGTCCGAGGGCGCAGAGCTGGTCCGAGGCAGCTCTGAGGAGTGAGGTCCGGAGGTCAGTGAGTGAACCGGGGTCACTAGGTCGCGGGGCGGGGTCCAGGGGAGGCGTGTGCACCTGGAGCCCAGCCGTGGTGGCCTGCCTCTCCCCACAGGTTCTGGGACAGGAAAAAGCACTTACGGAACCTGCACAGGGAAGGAGAGGGTGTCCCAGCCCCTCGGTGGTACTAACACCAGCCGTGTGGAGTCCGTGATTGTGGCGTCTTGAGACTCTTCACTTGCTGCATTCACAGCTCTCGGGTGCGGGGACCCTGAGGATACCCCCAAGCCCTGTGTCCTGAGTGCAGGCCGAGGGTGACATGAAAGTGTTCCCATTTCTGACAACCAGTATAAACAGGTGCAGAAGGTTATCCCAGGAACGGATACCAGCGTGTGCAAATGCTTGGAGGTGTGACTGAGCTGGAGACAGGGGACAGCAGGTCTCCATTCTTTCCGTGAGAAACAAAGAGTAGGGAGTCAGGAATCAGTCCTGTAATGTGGCCGCCTGAGAAGTTAGGTGTCTATTATGGACATAGTGAGAGGTCTGGATAAGAGGAGGTAGGTGGTCTTACCCAGGTCTTAGGAGGCTCCATCTCCTGCAGAGAAGAGCACAGACTGTGAGTTAAGGGAGGAGGCAGAGAACTCAGGAGGAGGCTACTGCTGTAATCTCAGTGTTGATGGACCAGAGTTGTAGCCATGGAGGTGGGAGAAAAGTTTGGATTCTAGGTCCATTTTTGAAGGAGGGCCAAGTTGATTTTTGGATGTTGTAGTTGAGGGAGGGCCAGCTGGTCCACTGATTAAGATTCGGTGCCCTCTGGGTGGGCCCCATGACCAAGTGGTTTAGCTGGCCCACTCAGCTTCGAAGGCCAAAGGTTTCACCAGTTCGGATCCTGGGCATGGATATGGCACCACTCATCAGGCCACACGAGGCTGCGTCCCACATAGCACAACCAGAGGCACTCACTACTAGAATATACAACTGTGTACTGGGGGACTTTGGGGAGAAGAATAAAAAAAAGAAGGAGAAAGATTGGCAACAGTTGTTAGCTCAGGTGCCAGTCTTTAAAAAAAAGATTCGGTGCTCTCACTTCCGCAGCCTAGGTTTCTTCCCCAGTTAGGGAACCAAACTGCATTTCTGTCACATGTCGTACTGTGGCAGCTGCTTGTTGGTGTGATGCTGAAAGCTACGCCATCACTACGTTAAATACCAGCAGAGTCACCCATAGTGGGCAGGTTTCCGTGGAGCTTCCAGATTTGAGACAAACTAGGAAGAAGCACCTGGCCAGCCATTTCCAAAAAACTTGGCCTTGAAAACCCTATGAATAGCAGCAGAGCATTCTCTGATACAGCGCTAGAAGATGAGAGGATGGTGCCAAAAAGACTGGGCCAGGTTCCGCCCTGCTGCACACAGGATCACCAGGAGGCTGAATTGAATCGATGGCACCAACAGCAACGAAATTGAAGGAGAGGTTAGGGATGACTCCAAGGTTTTGGGTTGTAGCTGCTGAAGGGATGGAAGTTCCGTCAAGTGGGATGTGGAAGTTATCGGTAGGTCTGTTTTCCTTGGGAATATCAGAAGTTTTATTCAGACCCTGTTAAGAGTCTGAGGAGTTTGAGAAAACGTTGAGTAGAGACATCAAGTGGGCATCCGGAGACACAGGTCTGGCAATCTAGGGAGAGGTTCAGGATGGAGACTTTCAAATGGCTGTTGTGGCTCTTAGTGTGGACCCGGGCGGAGCTGTGGATCACATTTACGAAGTGGAATGTGGGATATAGTGATAATGCTGTTCGCGAGTCAGAAAGACTGGGGTGCATGCTGAGGAATGGTTCTGTTGCTTAGCACCTGGTTGAGGTTCCTGAGTATGAGAAACACAGGTGAGGGAGGGCCGTGGCCATGGAAGGGTGTGGGAGAGAGCATGATCTGGCAGGCGGCCAAGGCTTCCATGGGATGAGTGGGTGGGAGATGACTTCAGAGGCAGAGGAGTAAATGAGACAGGTTGACAGTGAGTCTGGGGCTCCTGCGAATTCACTAATGTTCACATTCACCAGCATTGTGTGTTGAGCCCTGATGGGGTCTGGGGTGTTCGAGTCTTGGTGGTGGATAAGATCTGGGTTGAATGTAGTCATTTGTGAGAGTCACTCTGCCTGGCAGGGAGACTGTATGGGCTGGGGTTTTAAGGAAGATTAAGTGGGGAGAGGCAGATTGTGGCTGCTGAGGGGACAGAAAGTGCATGACAGAAGTGGAAAAGGGTCATGGGTATCTGAAATTCACATGTGGTTCTGGGTGGCTGATCTTGAAGCAAGGATCAGAGGCAGGTGGGGAGGCCTTCAAAGCAGCATCTGGGGCTTTCCCTGGCTGTGGGATCCATCCGAGGACTGGGAAGGTACTGGATTGTGTTTGAGTTTGTGAAATGCTCTCTGGATGCCACATGCCATGTCCACGGGTGAGTGCCAGGTGATGCCTGTATTGTAGGGCAGGGAGGTGGCAGAGCTCTGGGGACTAAAGATATGAGAGTGTGGTGTCTCCATAATAATTTGCCTTTACGTAGGTATTGTGAGCTGAGGGCCCCAAGGCCCGTGTAGTGGGGACTTAGGGGTGAAGCATGAGCCCACGGCTAGCTGTGTCTTGTAGCTACACTCTGGGAAATGCAGGGAAGTTGCTTTGCAGGAGGGATGGGGCCCTGCTGGCCAGGCCCAGAGCTTGGATGGCATCTGTGTCCCCCTGCCTGTTATTTCTGAAGGCTGAACACAGTGATGATTGGGACCCTGAGGAGAGCGGGTGTCAGTGGCAGCAGGACTTAGTATCCCCTCTGAGGTGGAGAGCTCTGGAGGAGGAAGAGTGCGGAGTAGATGTGTGAGATGAGGGCTTGTGGGTTCTGAGAGGGAGAAAGTTCATGGTTTCCTCTGTCCCCATCCTGACAGGACAGTGTGACCTTTGGAGACGTTGCAGTGTACTTCTCCTGGGAGGAGTGGAGGCTCCTTGGTGAAGCTTAGAGGCACTTGTACTTCAGTGTGATGCTGGAGAACTTTGCGCTCATATCCTCACTGGGTAAGGCCCTCTCCCTCCCCATGACCTGGACTAGGCTCTGTATTTCCTCCCACTCCTTTTCCCTAGGAGGTGCTCTGTCCTTCTCACATGTGAACTGTGGGAATTACATCCTTCTCTTTCTTTCTGGGTGGTGCCGTGTTGCTAGGGCTGGGTGTGCACCGCCCTCTTCTCTCCCCTGCAGCCCCAGTACCCTCTGTACTGAGCCCTCACAGGGAAGGATTCCAGGTCAGTAGTCTTGCAGTGAGGCTAGTGGATGGCGCCTTGCTTGCCCTCTCCGTGGCTGGGTGAACGTGTCCAGCTCCATGGCACTTCTCTGTGTTTGTGACAGGGTTTGCTCCCTTCCTTGACTGACATTTCCTAGGACCTGCCTGTGCCAGGAATTGCAGGCATTGTCATGATCACTACTTACCTGGACCATGGGCTATTTTTCAAGACTTTTCTATGAGGTACTTTTTATAGTGTTTCTACCTTCTCTTCTTCCTGCCCCCCAATTCCTACCCACTCTGCTTTATTGAGGTATAATTGAGAAATATATTTATATGTTTATTTAATATATTTAAGTATATTTACTTACATATATGTACATATGTGTACTTATATACATATAAGTGTGTATTTAATGTATTTATTATTTATATGTATATTTAATATAAAATATATTTAAAGTGTGTAGCATGATGGTTAACATATATTATGAAAGAATTACCACAATGATCTTAATTAATCCACCCATCACCTAAGCTAATTGTCTTTGTTTTTCTTTTTTGGTGAGAACACAAGATCTACTCTCAGCAGATTTCCTTGTACAGTACAGTATGAGTCACTGTAGTCAGCATGCTGTACGTTAGATCCTCAGAACTTATTCATCTTATGAATGAAATTGTATCCTTTGACCAACATCTCCCCATTTCTCCAGCCCTCTGCTTCTGGCATTCTACTTTCTGTCTCTATGAGTGTGGCTTTTTATTTTAGAGTCTACATATAAGTAATATCATACAGTATTTATCTCTGTGTGATTGGCTTGATTCACTTAGCATAATGTCCTCAAGGTTCATCCATATTGTTGCAAGTGGCAGTTTTTCCTTCTTTTGTATGGCTGAATAGTCCAGTGTGTGTGTGTGTATCTCACATTTTCTTTATCAGATGAACACTTAGTTTCCTTATCGGCTATTGTGAATAATGCTGCAATGAATATGCACATGCAGATATTTCTTAGAGATACTGATTTTGTTTCCTTGGGATATATCCCCAGAAGTGGGAATGGTGGATCACATGGAAGTTCTGTTTTTAATTTTTTGAAGAACTTCCATAATATTTTCCATAATGGCTGCACTAATTTCCGTTACCAGCAACAGTGTTTAAGGGTTCCCTTTTCTCCACATTAATTTGATACAGTCCCACTGGTTGATTTTAGCTTTTGTTGCCTATGAGTTTGATGTCATATGCAGAAAATCATTGCCAAGAACAATGTCAAGGAGGCTTTTCTCTGTATTTTCTTCTAGGAGTTTTAAGGTTTCACTTCATACATTTAAATTTAAGTCTTTAATCCATTCTGAGTTCATTTTCATGCATGTGATAAGATGAGAATCCTGTTTCCTTTTTTTGCATGTGGCTATCCAATTTTCCCATCTGTATTTATTGAAGAGACTGTCCTCCCCCCATTGTGTTTTCTTGGTGCCCTTGTCAAAGATTAGTTGACTGTATATGCGTGGATTTACTTCTGGGCTCTCTCTGTTTTGTTCCATTGGTCTGTCTGTTTTTATGCTGGTACCATACTGTTTTGATTACTGTAGCATGTAAGATAGTTTGAAATCAGGAATGTGGTACCTGCAGCTTTGATCTTCTTTCTTAAGATTGCTTTGGCTATTCAGGCTCTTTTCTGGTTCCATTTGCTTTTTAGATGTGATTTTTTCTATTTCTGTGAAAACATTGGAATTTTAATAGGAATTGTGTACAAAGAGTAGATTGCTTTGGGTATTATGGCCATTTTAACAATATTAATTCCCCTGATCCAGAGATAATGGGGTATCTTTCCATTTATTTCAGTCTTCTTCACTTTCCTTTGTCAGTGTTTTCTAGTTTTCAGTGTATACATCTTTCAACTTCTTGGTTAAATTCATTCCTAGGTATTTTATTGATCTTGATGCTGTTGTAACTGGGACTGCCTTCTTCCTTTCTCTTTCACATAGTTCATTGTGAATGTACAAAATGCAAGTGATTTTTGTATGTTGATTTTTGTATCCTACAAGGTTACTGAATTTGTTTATTCATTGTGACAGTTTTTTGAGGGAGTCTTTAGGGTTTTCTCTGCGTAAGATGATGTCATCTGCAGAGATGATTTTACTTCTTTTTTGGTTGGCGTGCCTTTTGTTTCTTTTCTTGCCTAATTGCTCTCTAGGACTTCAGTCCCATGTTGAATAGAAATAGTGAGAGAGTGGCTATTTTTATCTTGTTCCTGATCTTAGAGGACAAGCTTTTAGCTTTTTTTTTTTTTCCTGCTTTATCTCCCCAAACCCCCCCTGTACACAGTTGTATATCTTAGTTGCACGTCCTTCTAGTTGTGAGATGTGGGATGCCGCCTCAACGTGGCCTGACAAGCAGTGACATGTCCGCGCCCAGGATCCGAACCCTGGGCCGCCGCAGCGGAGCGCGCAAACTTAACCACTCGGCCACGGAGCCGGCCCCAGCTTTTTACCATGAATTCTTTGTAGACTGTAGGCTTATCATATATGACATATATTCTGTTGAAGTATGCTTTTTCTATCCCTAATTTGTTGAGAGAGTTTTTTAACTATTTTATTCAGGTGACATTGGTTTATAATATTGTGTAAATTTCAGGTATACCTTATTATATTTCAGCTTCCGTATAGACTGCATCATGTTCACCACCGATAGTCTAGTTTTTATTCATCACCATACATATGTGCCTCTTTACTCTTTTTTCCTTCCCTCTACCTCCTTCCCCTCTAGTAACCACCAATCTGTTATCCTTATCTGTGTGTTTATCTTCCACCTATGAGTGAAATCATACGATATTTGTTTTTCCTCTATTTCACTTAGTATAATACCCTCAAGGTCCATCCATGTTGTCGCACATGGCACAGTTTTGTCCTTTTTTATGGCTAAGTAGTATTTCATTGTGTATATTTGTGTGTGTGTATATAATAATATAATAATACTGCAGTGAACATAGGGGTGCATATATCTTTTTGAATTAGTGTTTTCATGTTCTTTAGATAAATACCCAGAAGTGGAATAGCTGGATCATAGGGTTTTTAAATTTTTTGAGAAATCTCCATATTGTTTTCCATGTGGCTGCACCAGTTTGCATTCCCACCAACAGTGTATGAGGGTTCCCTTTTCTTCACATCTTCTCCAACACTTGTTATTTCTTGTTTTTTAATAATAGCCATTCTATGGGTGTGAGGTGATATCTCATTGTAGTTTTGATTTGCTTTTCCCTAGTAATTAGTGATGTTGAACATCTTTTCACGCGCCTGTTGGCCATCTGTATATCTTCTTAGGAAAAATGTCTGTTCAGATCCTCTGCCCATTTTTTGATCTCGTGGTTCAATTTTTTGTTGTTGAGTTGTATGAGTTCTTTATATATTTTGGAAATCAACCCCTTGTCAGATATATGATTTGCAAATATCTTCTCCCAGTTGATGGGTTGTCTTTTCAATTTGCTAATGGTTTTCTTTGCTGTGCAGTAGCGTTTTAGTTTGATGTAGTCCTATTTGTTTATTTTTTCTTTTGTTTCCCTTGCCCAAGGAGACTGGTATTCAAAAAGATACTGCTAAGCAGAATGTCAAAGAGCAGACTGCTTAGGTTTTCTTCTAGGAGTTTTGTGGTTTCAGGTCTTACATTCAAGTCTTTAATCCACTTTGAGTTAATTTTTGGGTGTGGTATAAGGTAATGGTCTGCTTTCGTTCTTTTGCATGTGGCTGTGCAGTTTTCCCAACACCATTTATTGTAGAGATTTTCCATCCTCCATTGTGTGTTCTTGGCTCCTTTGTCAAAGATTAGCTGTCCATAGATGTGTGGTTTTATTTCTGTGCTCTCAATTCTGTTCCATTGGTCTGTGTGTCTGTTTTTGTGCCAGGACCATGCTGTTTTGATACTATAGCTTTGCTGGATGTTTTGAATTCAGTGAGTGTGATACCTCCAGCTTTGTTCTTTTCTCAGGATTGCTTTGGCTATTTGGGGTCTTTTGTTCCATGTGAATTTTAGGATTCTTTGCTCTATTTCTGTGAAGAATGTAGTTTGGATTCTGAATGGGATTGTATTCAATCTGTAGATTGCTTTAGGTAATATGGACATTTTAACTGTGTTTACTCTTTCAATCCATAAGCAGAAAATATCTTTCCATTTCTTTATGTCTTCTTCAATTTCTTTCAATAGTTATATAGTCTATTAGTCTTATAGTCAATAGTCTTATAGTTTTCAGTGTGTAGATCTTTCGCCTCCTTGGTTAAATTTATTCCTAGATATTTTATTCTTTTTGTTGCAGTTGTAAATGGGATTGTATTCTTGATTTTTCTTTCAGCTAGTTTGTTGTTAGTGTATAGAAATTCACCTGATTTTTGTATGTTGATTTCCTACCACACAGCTTTAATATATTCATTACTTATTTCTAATAGTTTTTTGGTGGATTCTTTAGAGTTTTGCATATGTAGAATCATGTCATCTGCAAATAATGACAGTTTACTTCTTCCTTTCCAGTGTGGATACCTTTTATTTCTCTTTCTTGCCTGATTGTTCTGGGTAGGACTTCCAATACTATGTTTAATAAGAATGGTGAGAGTCAGCATCCTTGTCTTGTTCCTGTTCTCAGAGGAATAGCTTTCAGTTTCTCATCATTGAGTGTGATATTGGTTGTGAGTTTGTCATATATGGCCTTTGTTATATTGAGATACTTTCCTTTTATACCCATTTTATTGAGAATTTTTATCATAAATGGATGCTGCATCTTGTCATGCTTTCTCTGTCTTTTGAGATGATCCTGTGGTTTTATCCTTATTTTGTTAATGTGGTATATCACATTGATTGATTTGCTGAAGTTGAACCATCCCTGCATCCCTGGACTAAATCCCACTTGATTGTGCTGTATGTTCTTTTTAATGTATTCTTCCATTTGATTTGCTAAAATTTTGTTGAGGATTTTTCCATCTATGTTCATCAGCTGTATTGGCCTGTAATTTTCCTTTTTTGTGTTGTGCTTGTCTGGTTTTGGTATCAGGATAATGTGGGCTTCATACAGTGAGTTAGGAAGCATTCTGTCCTCTTCAGCTTTTTGTGAGAGTTTGAGAGGGATAGCTATTAATTATGTCTTCTTTGAATGTTTGGTAGAATTCACCAGAGAAACCATCTGGTCCTCGGCTTTTGTATTTAGAGGAGGTTTTTGAGTACTGTTTCAGTCTCTTTACTTGTGATTGGTCTATTCCAATTCTCTATTTCTTATTGATTCAGTTTTAGGAGGTTTTACAGTTCTAAGAATTTATCCATTTCGTCTAGGTTATCCAATTTGTTGGTGTATAGCTTTTCATAGTATTCTCATAATCCTTTTCATTTCTGCGATATTCATTGTAATTTCTCCTCTTTCATTTCTGATTTTATTTACTTGAGCCTTCTGCCTTTTCTTAGTGGGTCTAGCTAAAGTTTTGTCAATTTTCTATATCTTTTCAAGGAACCAGCTCTTAGTTTCATTTATTCTTTCCGTTGTTTTTTTAGTCTCTGTTTCATTTATTTCTGCTCTGATTTTTATTATTTCCTTCCTTCTACTGACTTTGATCTTTGTTCTTCTTTTTCTAGTTCTTTTAGGTGTATAGTGTTAGATTGTTTATTGAGATTTTTCTTGTTTCTTGAGGTTGGCTGTATTGCTATAAACTTTCCTCTTAGTACTGCTTTTGCTGCATCC